TTAAACCAGTAAAACAGTCCCAAGTAATTACGAAACGACCATCTTTTGAGAAGACACAAGTACAAGAAGGATTCTTGATGGTACAATGAACTCTGATCGGAGGAATCCACGTATAATAGGTTTTGCTCTAATGGAAAGATGTATGTGCGATGCCCCCTCCAAACCAGGAAAACAGTCCCAAGTAGCGTGAAACATGGAGGTGGTAATGTAATGGTGTGGGGATGCTTCTCGTTGTATGGTATGGGTCCGTTGTTCCATGTAAAAGGAATTATGAATGCGGAGATATACAATGAAATATTAATGTCAACTATGCTTCCTTATGCTCGTAAGGAATTGTCCTTTCATCTGGACGTTTATGCAAGACAACGACCCAAAACACGCACAGCAAAGTTGACGTTCTTTCTTGAGAGGGAAAACGTGACAGTTTTGGAATGGCAACTACACTCTCCAGACTTAAATCAAATTTAAAATTTGTGGGAAAGTGTAGATAGAGGGATTGATCGATCCAAAGTAACTAATTTAGACAAACTATGGGAAGAAAACAAAAGGCATGGTATACAACTCTAGAAACAGAATACAGAAGTTATGTGAGCTCATTGGAAAGAAGTCAGTCAGAAGCTGTCAAATAACAAAGGATCTCCTACTAAGAACAAACGTATTCAAGAGAGAGGTTCTTTTTGTCTTTTTGCTATCTTCCAAAGCGTCTGCTTTATGGCTCTATTTTTTCACTTCTTAGAGAGACACTTTTAGTTAATTTTTGTTTGCCATTCGTAAAATAATTTGAGTCTTAATGCCATGTTGAGTACAAAATAAAAAAATGCACTATTTATTTATAAATTAACGTTATTTGAAAACATATCTCTTAATTTCCTTATCATGTCATGTCGGATCTTTTTTATTGACCGCCACTGTATATAAACTCATTTTTCTCGAAATAATAAAAGTGGCCCTTTTTTTTATTTGAAGCCTTCATATGGGTAGCATTTTTACCACAATTTCAGTTCCAGAGCATTCGTTGCTAGGAAGGCGCAACAAGCGATGAACAAGAACGAATTTGACTGGGCACAATCTTGTCGTAGTTCACTGAAATCGTGTTAGATAATTCAAACCGCCTTTTCCCGGGCGCGTGGCCACGGGAGAAGCTTGCGCATGCGCAGTCGCCTTTCCGCGGCGGCGGAGTCCGCAGAGCGCACTTATAAGGGGACGGACGCCGGGGAGGTCGAGTCCCAACTCGTCACTGCTCTCAGCACCTCCTCCTGCAGGAAGCATGACCTTGAGGTAAGGCCCCGCCGGCTGTTTGCGAAGGAATAATGAGATTGCGCAGATACAGGGGAGTGCGTTGGTATTGATATTGACATTGACATTGACATTGGCAGTCGGCGAATTTGTCAATGCACGATTTGTGTTGCACGATCTTGTCGTAGTTCACTGTATTTAAGTTAGATAATTGACGAGCTATGTAGAACAAGGACTTTTGTGAAATTGCATATTTCCACAATATTTGTTAAATTGAGTTATCATAAAATATATCTTAAAATATCATTATTTTAGTGTAGCGAGTTATTTCAATCTGTTTTGCCTTACTATACGCATGAGTACTGTGTTTAAAATGTTTAAATGATACTGAGTTATATTGTGTAGGTTTTAGTAAAACTTTCAAAATATAAGAAATAGGTAAATGTCACGTAGTCCCTTGTTTCACTAAGCCCTTTAATTTTATTGACTATATTTCGATGCGATGGAAAGACCATTTAGGATGAATATCAGCATTCGAAAGTTTAGAATTCTTTAAGATGTATTTGGCTTAAAGGGCTTCCGCCTAGCCAAATAGTATCGGGTTATCTCAATTATATGCTTTAGAGATACCTATGAAATAAATAAAATAGTTTTAATTTTTACCGCTACACTATTACTTGTTATTGCCTTCGACACGGCGCTCGATTTTCCCTGCATACGTTACATATCGTATCATACGTTATATATACGTATCGAGAAGATCTTGGTCACAGCAGAAAAATGAAAACAGTTAAATGTTGCTACGTGTTCTCTTAGGGCGGGAATTATGAGAAGCAAATATAAAATGACAAACCGAGTCAAGTTAACAACTATGAAGTCATAGGCTTCCGCGGCCAGAGTCATGTGGGTGATCTGGGCTGTCCGGGTGACGCCGCGTCGAAGGTTGTGTTGCCGACGTTTCGACCATCCTGTCGTGGTCTTCCTCATACCAGCCCTGAGGATCAGGATCCCCACGACAGGATCGTCGAAACGTCGGCAACAGATCCTTCGACGCAGCGTCACCTGGACAGCCCAGATCACCCACAAGTTAACAACTATTTAATAAGTAAATATTCATTATTAAAATCCGGTTTTAAAAACTCTTGTATGTACCACGGGCGTTAACTAGTTCAAATGATCTCGAGCAACAAATCACTTGAGGGCTTTTTTGTCGCTGCTCGATCATTAGAACCCTAATAACGCCCTTGCCGTATAAATTGCTATTATACATCGTACATGTAGTAATTGAGTAACCAGTGTCTGTCCGTTCGTTATTCACTGCTCCGGTCCAACATTTGAGGCACGTAAGATCACTCGGCGCGTGTTGGTCATGTAACTGTTGGAAATACAACATTTCTTACGGATCCTTTTGATTTATTGCAAGAGATCTCCAAAGATACATGTTTATCAGGATTTTGCGTATCATGAACTAATTTGTGGATATGTTAAATAATGATAGATGCTCAATTCCTCATTCAGCCCACCACAAGACGGCTTCATGGGTACTTTTTTAGCTCCATTCTTCTAGAATACTTTGGAAGAATTTTAGAAAAAAATAAGTGATTAATGTTCAAGTAGCACTTTCTATGCCCGAAGACGGACAAACAGGCTATAGAATTATGTTTAAATCATCAACATCTTACTACTAATAATAATAATATTGTCATAACCAATAACCAATCACAGATTTAATTTAATTTTCAAAGCACAAAGGGATGCACTTGTTGTGTCATAATTACAGCGGGCAAATTACAATACCATGATTTGTGAAATTCTTATGATAATTTACTTAACGTAAAAACAATATTTACGATTAAAAGACTTAAAATTCATCAATTGCAGTACTCAACAGTCTTATTGAATTTGTCTCGGTATAACACTTTTTGGAGCGAAATGTGCGAATTACGCTGCGTGCATTGGTCAAATTATAATTTACTCGTAGAATATGCTATACTTTCCGCAGTATAACGCCGATTGCTTTCAACCGATTTTGTGGGGGCAGGTTATAATATCGTGGCCTCTAGATTCGCAATTGTAACAAACAGCCCCACACGATTCAAAGGACGAGAGGTTTTGGTTGTAATGGCTCGTAAATGGCAAGGACAAGGGCCTTTTATTGTTTCAGAAGTGAGGATAATTAAATGAACCATTATCGGAATGCAGACAGTGCATAAATTTTTAAATACTAAATTGTAAATTTCTTGAAACCCTTATGTACACATTTACTTGATAAATCGTTCACTTTCACATGTCGCTGAGTTTACCATAATTGTCTAATAGTCAATGTTCCAGTTTCTAAGCTTTCACTGGAGTATGCTTCTCAGTTCTTCTATGCTTCTCTGTGTTCTTGACCACAGATTTTTAAATTGTTTCTTCAAATCGTTTTTTAACACGTCTTGTGTCTTTCTACATTCCTTCTATCTCTTATTTTTTCTCAAGTTTTGGTACAATACGTTCATCTCACGTCTGTTAAGTTTCTTTGCCTGTCCAGCCCACTCCCATTATAGCTTATCTGTATTTTCCGCGAAACTTTCAGGTATGTCTTGTCTCTAACAACGGTTTCTGTATTTTCTCTTACAGTTATATTCCTATCAGCTTTCATCTTTCTCTGGCATCTACTAAGCATATGTTCTTTTCTTTTTCGATTAACCACTTCCTCGCCCCATATAAATTGCATCACTGATACGAGTAGTACACATTTTTACTAGTAATAGCTTTTCCAAAAATAAAACTTGCATGTTTGATACTGAATGTTCCGTATTTTACAAAGAACCAAATAAACTTGAGATTTTAATCACGCGTATTAAACATTTATTTAGTTTTCGTGACTTCTATGACACAAAGTTTAGCACAGCTTTGGAAGAGGTTTCTCTCCACCATCAGTCGATTTTAAAAACCATTCTATCACAAACCATTCTATTCACATTTGTTTTTATTGGATAAATTATCTAAAGGCTTAATGATTAATGACTATTGATTCTTGGCGCGTCAATTGCTAAGGCAGTTAGTCCCGTAAGTGTAGTACATGTTTTCTCGGAACTAATCTTGCTTCGCTGGATAGCGAGATCCGGCGCCGACCTACCATCCACTATGGGTTTTTCCCACCCAGGTATCTTCCACCAGCAATGCACCACCGCAGTCAGGGCAAGCTCTAAGCTCCCGGCATGTATGATGGTTTAATGTATGTTAGTGTAAGTGTTTGATGTAAGGAAGGATTAGAGCAGATAAAAGGAAGGAACAGATCGCGCGCGCGGTCTGTTGTTCATTTGCTTTAATTGAATTGAATTGAGTTGAATTGGATTAATGCTTATTTTACGTGGCGAGACTCAGGTCATGAGCTGCCTCTTCCGTCTGACACGCAAATTTCGCTACGCCCTTTTACCAACTAGCAAGCCAAGAGGTATTTCTGGACGAGAAACAGGCGATTTTGAATTTAGCTCAGAGGCGTTCATTTAGGCTTGAGGAATCTTTACATGCAAGTAATCTACTAACATGGGACAACCGGCTTTAACTTCCCTCAGAAGACGCACAATCCAGCCGATACGCTAACCGTTACACCATCGCCGCCGCGGCAAGCTGTTAGTACTGTCCGGCATTTGTCTGATGTTGATCGGAGAAACCACGGAAAACTACCGAGCAGGCAGGCGGCCGCTAGAATTCTCTTCCAGGCAGAGACATAATTCGACCTCCCTACACGACCGCCGGGACCCGAACCCGTACCCCTGCAGCTCAGTCGACGCCCTGAGCCCCGACGACGGTCACAACCGCGCGTGGTGCCCCGCACCGCGTGGTGGCGGCGGCGGTGGCGCTGGCGGCGCTGGCGGCGGGCGCGGCGCGCGCGCAGCAGGTGACGCGCGAGTGGTGCGAGCGCGTGTGCCAGTGCAGCGCCTTCGACCCCGCGCGCCGCCGCCTGCCCCAGGGCTACGTGACGGCGCCGGGCGTCGGCAGCTACAAGGTGTACACGGACCCGCTGCCCTGGAAGCAGGCCAACGAGACGTGCGCGCGCGACGGCGGCTTCCTCGCCGTCCCCGACGACCAGGTACACGACGAGAGAAATCAGTCAATGATAATAATAATAATAATCAATTAAATAAATAAATAATTAGTGATTAATTGATAATTGTTTAATTTATAAATAAATGATTACCAATAAATAATTAATAAATACGTAAACAATCAATAAACAAGTAAAAGTAAATATAGAAATCAGGAAATCAGTAAGTCACTAAGTCAATGAGTCATTAAGTCAGTGAGTCAATAACTCACTAAGTCAATGTCACTAAGTTACTAAATCAGTTAGTCAATAATTTGCTAAGTCTCTGAGACAATAATTCACTAATCCACAGAGTCAATAAGTCGCAAAGTCAGTGAGTCAGTAAGCCAATAATTCGGTGTGTCAATAAGTCAGTGAGTCAATAAGTTACTAAATCAGTTAGTCAATAATTTGCTAAGTCTCTGAGACAATAATTCACTAATCCAGTGGGTCAATACGTCACAAAGTCAGTGAGTCAGTAAGTCAATAAGTCTGTGTGTCAATAAGTCAGTGAGAGAATAAGTCACTAAGTCAGTAATGAAGCCACTGGGTAAGTAGGTTGTCTGATAAACCAAGATATCCCCGAATTTTATTAATAAAAGAGTATAATAATATTTATTAGGTCAATACGTTTTAGTTCAGGCATACGGTGGAAATGAAATCAGAACGGACAGGATGCTATGGTCACAAGTGTAAATAAACGAGCCTGGGAAAAATGAATGATCCTAGTAATATTCAAAACGAGAGAGGGTGTTAAAGAGTTGTCATTGGCTGATCGTTTAATACTGTCCATTTTTTTGTGACTGGATGAAGAAGCTCTCTCCAGGTTTGTCGCAGACTAAGCTGTTTTTTTGAAGAGTTCGTGCAAGCTCCTGTTTATTACCTTGTTGGTGCTATTAATTCTCTCCGCTTTTTGATGATCTAACTTTCTATCTTATCACACATTGTGTCAATTCAATGACGCGACAAGGCTCAAGCCATCAGGCCTGTTTTTACGCATAACCCCGCAAATTTCGCTGCTTTCGCCAAAGATAACACTCGAATAAAGAAACAAACGAAGGAGAATTTAGCTTAGAAGTTTCTTTCAGGCTTGGAAATAATACACATACAGGAAACCTACTACATGGGATAGCCGGCTTTACTTCCCCTCTACAGGGAGGTGCAAGACGAATTTGTGGCTAAGACGAATTACGGAGTTCGATCGAATTTAAACTAGTGATCTTGGCTATAACAGTACGATACGGTACTTGTAGCTTTCATTAGTGAGTAGTCTTTCATTAAATGACCAAATTCCTTATCTTTTGCTCTTAAAATCTCACTCTCGTTGTTGGTAAGGTCAGTTTCTCTTATTATTAATTGGTTTGATCTTTTTGTTAGTCTTCTCTTTTTGTTAGTAAACTCGTTTTCGGCGCATTCAAGAAAGGATGTGGAGTAATTTATTAAATAAAATAAGAGGCTTCTGTTGCGAGAATCATTTGAAAACCCTCAGCTGTGAGTGAGGCTGAGAAAAAAGACCATATGACAAAAACTGAAAATGGCCACTATATCACACGCACTTTATCTCTGAGGAAGGCCACTATGCACATTCATTCAGCGCAAGTCGCATCGTATGATCTGTAGTTCTGTCCTGTGGAACGCCACGATATTACATGCACATCTGGTCCTAGAAAAGCCGCACTACGATGACCAACAGTTCTATTAAACAAAATAATTGCCAAGTTAAGCCTCTGGCCACTCAATTCACTAAATGTATGTATGTAAATTTCAAGTAATATTTTATATTTCAAAGTCAATTTGCATTTCTTACAATTCTTTTTATTAAGTGTTCCCTGCATAGAGCAGAAACAAGAAACGACATTTCAGATCGCGTATTTCCGCTAGGATGTGGAGGGAAACGCACTATCACAGAGTGAGAAGTGCACGGACTACCCGCAGATAACCGAAATGCATGGAAGCTATCTTGACAGCATTTCCTGTTCGTATAAAACATGAACTGTGGCAGCATCAACGGATGCACCAGTTAACTAAAGATTACATGTAATCAAACGACTCGTTAAAAAGTAGGCTTACAATTCGTCCTATTTTTTCAGGATTTGCACTGTTTTTTAGGACAAAGTGTTCAAACAAAATAAACTAAGTGCCCTCGTTGAAGCTTCAAGGTAAACTGATTTGAATATAACTGCTGATTTTTTTTGCTATCACTAGATATAATGCTAGTACAGAAAGTGCTTCTTGTATTTTAAAAGTACAATAGACAAAACATAGGAATATGTTAAAATTGAAAGCATAAAAAGTGTGTGCACTGCCGTACAATTTCAAATATATTGACTGACAGGTTTCTATGAAATCTTGTTAGTAAACCAAAATCTCTTGGAGATTTCTTCATCAATCAAATATTCTTAATAATACTGATAAAATTCAGACGTTGGGTTTCACTAAATGTTTTAAGAATTTTGATTAGTTATTGTATTACGAATACAATATATTAAAAAACATTTTAATATAACATACTTTAATTAAAAACAATTTCTAACAGAACAAGCAGTGTTTCCTTCACAAAGATGATCTATAGGCATTGTTGAGAGATCAGAAAACGAAAATACAGATTAAAATGAGCCTGATTTGTCTGAACCGATTAATTGCATGTATATATTTGGCATTTTTGGGTCGATTGTCCGCTTGCTAACGGTGCCCCCCACGCCTGGACCTAGTTAATCTCAGACGTTTAAGTGTAAGAGGCAAATGACGAACGACGTCTTCTCTTTATCGTAACTAGCAAACTCCACCTCCTTGAGTTTTCTTCCTCAGAAAGATACAGAAACTGAGATGATTTTAAAGGAAAGCTACAACTCTATTTTCGTCTCGCGAAGGCTGAGTGCCGACGTTTTCGACCCTCCTGTCGTGTCTTCTCAGGGCTGTATGCGCATACAGCCCTGAGGAGACAGACAGGATGGGTCGAACGTCGGCAAACTCAGCCTTCGTCACCCACATGACTCTGGTCGCGGAAGCCTACGACTTTATTAAAATATATGTTTGCCTTAAACCTCCTTTTCTAATCTGGATGAAGAATCCAAAAACACGGTTGACTTCTTTCTTCTCTGATTTCAGATAGAACTAGATCTGATAATGGGGTTGCGATATGGCATCAAAGATCTTCACATCGGCTTCACCAATATCTTCGTTGGAAACCAATTCGAAACAGCAATAGGTAAGAAATCAATTTGCCACTACCTTTTTAATCCTCAAAAAACTTCAAATGTTCACTAAGCATTTTCGACATTTTCTATATCTATTTTACATTCTAGATGAGCCATTCTTGCGCAATAGAGAACCGGATTCTATCAAATTTCAACTGTCTTAATTTAATTAATATGGCATCAAATGAGTTTTGAGACTCGAGCGCTATTCTATTTCTTTGAGAAATTCGGCTCATTTAACCGGTGAGAACATTGAAGATAATGAGTAGGTGAAGGCGATGTTTTCCGAAATGTTGCTTCCCTGTCATCTCCCCATTAAGGATTCCTCCCCCAAATATGTAATTTTTAAAATTAAGGTATTACCGCTAAGTTTATATTAAGCCAACAATATTAATATAGAATGTGAACTGAACATTGTAAAACATAAAAATAAATAATTTGAGGGGAGGCCCGCACCGTATTTTCGGCCCATGCTTCCTTTCAAGCCTATCCCTGGAGGAAGGGCTAGGAGTTATTTTGAGAAGGTTCGCTCTACGAGTTCCTTGATGCGCCTGGATGTGATTCCTATTTCTTAATGCCGGCTTAATGTCGGCCTCAGTTAACTTCAACCAAACTGTCTTGTTGAGAGAACGTGAAATTGCGTGGATTCAATTTCCTCTGGGATTATTGACGGTTCCTTGCTTCATGCGTGATTTGTTTTTGTATTTGCTTATAGCCATTATATGTCACATAAATAGTAATTGGTCTCGGCGCCCTTAGATCCCGGCTTCCTAGTTGGTCACCCAACCAAGAACCCGCAATGTCTCTTAAGTCACTTAACCTTAGAGACTTCATGTAGTTATCGATTTCGGCTAGCGATGCCGGTTTCGCGGTCGTGGCCTGAATGACCGAGGTAAACCAAGAAAAAAACACCCAGTCAGGATAGCCGGCACCGGGAATGAACCCGGGCCTCCCGAACGGGAAGTCAATGCGCTACGCCCTGAGCCTCTTCGCTTGGTTCAAGCGTGATACTGTGGAGTTTTCACCCTTCATAAAAATTCATGCTCATCAGCCGATGTAATAAAATATTTTATTGGATTCGGTCCTATATTTTAGGAAGACGTTTTGGAGGCAAAATATGTTTTGAAGGTTCCTAGTAGGTACAAAGTGTTTTTTATCATGATGTCTCCAGAGATAAATCAGTGTCACGCATAACGGAAGCAGAATAAAAGCTTTAGAGCTTTACCTTCGTCCACGCGTCAGATCTAACATTTTCTTAGTGCGGTTTCCTAATCTAATTCAAATATGTGCAGGTGAAAGGAGATATACGCAGTTTTGAACGAAAAAAAAAACACTGCAATTTCGTTAAACTAAGCACTTTCACCTAAACTACGGGATTTATTGATTGATGTTTGCACACGCGCCAACTGCTAAGGTCATTAGTCCCGTAAGTGTCGTGCCTGTTTTATCGCTGAAGATGGCGCTGATCTCCCCCTGCGTGGTGGCGAGATCTGACGCCGACCTACAAGTGGGCTTGCGGCGTCTTTCTCGACACTTTGCTACAAAGAAATCTCAACATTATGGCACCAAGAAACCGGCAGTCGCAAATGCAATACGCAACACGCAGCACACGTAATGCTGCAACATAGGATATCGTCGCTAATAATTTGTACCATGAACTACGACGTTAAGACCTGAAATCAAACGTAGTATGTAACGTTTCTACAATGAGACCTATTATATTTGCGAATATTCTATTTCATTTTGGAGGTTTAGTTCTTTTTAGTTCCGGACTCTTTTTAGTCTCAGAAGTAGTACAGATTATTAAAAACATGTAGAATTCCAAAACATATGTGATATTAAATGAAATATTATAAAGTAAAATGAAATATTCCTGTGAAACTTAATTGTAATATCTTCGTATCGGTTAATAAACGCTTATAAATAATAAAATGTTTAACCACGGACGGTACTACTTGTTCGCGACCTGTTGCAACCTTTAAGAGACAAACCTAGCAGTTCGAAGTAGAGTTCTAGTAAGAAGCTATTTTCATTTTACATTATGATATACAAAGAGTGGGATGATCGCATCTAAAAAGTTTTTTTTAATTACAGGTACACCAATGAACGATTTCCAACGCGGTTTGTGGTACAAGGGATACCCGAAAACCGGTGCCAACAGAAACGCTGTGTTGCTGTACCAGAACGGCCAGATCTGGGACTACAGGAACGACGTCAAGTATCCATTCATGTGCGAATTAGCCCAAAATTAAGGGTATTAGTTAACGTGCAGAACATTTCGTAAAAATAATGAGTGAAGTGAGTCAACAAGGGAATATTAATATGAATTGTGAATTTGTGATTGTAAAACGTAATCGAAATAAACTGTAACTGTAAATTTCTTTTAAATTATCAGATGATCATTTCTTAGTTTCATGTTGTATAACCTTATTCACTTTTATAATTCTTATCCACCCAACGTCAAGTTCAAGTTTTGCGTGCAAAATATTGATAATTTTAAGAAGTTTTTTGGATCATAAAACGTGCATGCATCTACATTCGCCAATTTTAATGATGTTCTGTATTTTGTATTTTTCACAATTTTCTTCATAGATCAGGAAAATGGTAATTTAAAATCTTTTAATTTTAAATAAAAATAATTAAATCAAAAAAGCTGTCTTATATAAACATTGCATCTGAATGAGGTTATGTTACTTTGGTATTTTATGCTAAGCCTCTCTTGATGTGCTGTTTTCTTTTCCACGTTTCCAAAATTGCAGATTAGCATAAAAAAACGAACGTCTTTATAAAAATCATATTCATTATAAAAGGGAACGCAATAATTTTAAAATAGTACTCTACGTTCTGCGTGACACTACACACTACATTTCAGACAACAACCATCAAAATCTGTTAAGACGCACCAGAGCTAAGCACGGTTATGCAGACTGGCAAATGGGGTTAGATCAACGAGCTAGAAGATACTACATAGAGTGGCTGAAGCGCCTCCATCTTTGAATCAAATTGAATCCATGTGTTTTGCAGTCAAAGCAGCACCCTCCGGGAAACAAAGTATTCTAGCACTATGTTTGGCGCTGGTTACGGACGGTTACACCGCCACTCGTAAGTTTTAACTTAAAACAATATAGTAGCCACTAGTTCAACGAGACTCCACCAAGAGCGCTGAAACTATAGTGATAGCTACTCTACGAAGTATTTTCTAGCTCTTTGGGTTAGACAGACCAACCAACAGACACGAAAATCGTAAAGCATTTCAATTGTTTTTTTGATTCGAATTTGAATAATAGAAAAAACCATATGAGATAATAATTAAAGAGTTATTTTAAATCACTCCAACTTGATATATATAGGTACTCGTGCATGAATACGATCTTATGTTTTATCAATTTCGTGTCCATAATACGGACCTGAGGTTTAAGTTCATCTGGTAAATAATAAGAGGTAAAGGGAGGGCTATTTTACAATATTGAATTGAAATTGAAACTGAAACATAAATTGAAAATTTATCAACAACCACCAGGAGTAAAAACAGTCTGAGGGTCTGCATTTTCCTTACAGTACAAAAGCACACAAATTTCGAACAACGAATAGAAACAGATGAAAAAAAAGGTAGCCAAATTACAAGGGTTTTCCACTACCTATAAAGGTACATAAACTAGGACTGTTCGAACCGAAGTTAAGTTAAAAAAGGGCACCTTTAACTGCGTTAGAACATGCACCGCCATTACCAGACAAGCTTGATGGCCGTCAAACCCCACAATATTTGAGGTTAAAGCTGAACAAAAGAAAAAAATTAAAATTGCCTGCGGTTGACTCCTCCCATGAGGGTGCACTTGAACTCCAGTGCCGAAACATTTTTCTACCGATTACAAATGTGACAAACTTGTCATAGCTTTCCGACCACATGATTAATCATTGGCAAACAATATCTTCAACTCTACAATGTGCCCTAGCAATTTGTAAAATTATTTTGAACAATTCCCAATAGGTGATAATAAGCTTGTCTTCAATTAACTAGACATCGTTGCGAAATTAAACTGACTCTTTGTTGACCAGACAATTTTAGTTAATTGGTCAGTTTGATTGCTTTAGTGATTCCCTGCACGTCATCTGCCAGGGTCATTATTCCCTCAAGTGTAGTGCATGTTTTCCCTCTCTGGAGGTGGCGGTGATTTCCCCCCCCCGCTATATAGTAAGATCCGGCGCCGACCTACCGTCAGCAAGCGAGATTTTCCCTAACCAGGTATCCCCACCAGCGCGACACTGCCCCAGCCGGGACATGCTCTAAGTCTGATAATAGGATAAGGAAGAGACAGGTGGGATCGCGCGCGGTCCGCGGCCCGTTTGTTAGGGTACTTCTCCTGCATACGCCCGGTGTTGATCGGAGAAACCACAGAAAACTACCGATCAGAGCAGCGGGCCGCTAGAATTCTCCTCCAGACAGCGACTGAATTCGACCTAGCTAAATAAGCTAGTGTCGAAAATCCTGCCACCGTCGGGTCTCGAACGTAGTACCTCCCGGTCAGAGGGACTGCAGTGACATCAGTTGACACCCGGAGACATCTCTCCCGGTTTAATTGATTAGTGATTCCGGGCGCTCAAATAGCTCAGGTCGTTTGTCCCGTAGATGTTGTGCATGTTTCATCCCAGAAAGAGATATTTCTCCGCGAGATTCGCCATTCAATGTCGAGCTACATTACGGCTAGCGATTTTTCCCCAACCAGGTATCTCCCACCAGCGGAGCATCGTCCCATCCAAAACAATCTCTAAGCACACGACTGGTATTCCGACAAATGTGTTAGCGGAGTACATGCAAGTGTAAGTAAGGGGAGAGGTTAAGAGAAGAGGACACGGAAGAGGAAGGAAGAATCGGGCGTGGTCCGTGGCCCGTTTTTTAGGGTACTGCTCCGGCATTCGCCTAGTGTTGATTCGGAGAAACCACGGAAAACTACCTCTTAGAGCAGTCGTCCAGGGATAGAGATTTGTATTAATAGATAACAATGAGATAATAATTGGAGGTTATTTTTTAATCATCCACGTTGTATATATATAGGTACTCGTGCCATGATACGATCTTAATGTTTTATAATTTCGTGTCCATAATGAACGGACCTGAGGTTTAAAGTTTCAATCCTGGTAATAATAAGAGGTTAAAGGGGGGCTATTTACAAATACTTGAATTGAAAATGAAACTGAAACATAATTGAAAATTTATCACATACCACCCAGAGTAAAACAGCCTGAGGGTCCTGCATTTTCCTACAAGTACAAAAGCACACAAATTTCGAAACAACGAATCGAAACAGATGAAAAAAACGGAGCCCAAATTACAAGGGTTTTCCACTCAACTTAAAGGTACCTATAACTAGGACTGTTCGAACCGAAAGTTAAGTTAAACAAGGCACCTTTTAAAACTGCGTTAAGAACATCACCGCCATTACCAGAACAAGCTTGACTGCCGTCAACCCCACATATTTTTGAGGTAAAGCTGAACCAACACAAAAAAAACTTAAAAATTGCCTGCGGTTGACTTCCTCCCATAAGGGTGCAACTTGAAACTCCAGTGCGAAACATTTTTCTACCGATTACAAATGTGACAAACTCTGTCCATAGCTTTCGTACCACATGATTAAATATTGGCAAAACAATAATCTTCAAACTCTAACATTGTGCCCTCACGCAATTTGTAAAATTATTTTGAACAATTCACAATAGTGATAATAACGCTTGTGCTCAATAACTAGAACACGTGCGAAATAACCGACTCTTTGTTGACCATAAAACTTAGTTAAAATTGGTCCAGTTTGCTTGCTTTTACTGATTCCCTGCACTCATCTCAAGCACGCGCCTGGAATTCGACCTGTAAATAAGCTAGTTCGAAATCCTGCCACCGTCGGGTCTCGACATAGTACCCTCCCGTCAGAGGGATGCAGTGCATAATTGAACGCCCGGAACAATCTCTCCCGGTTTATATTGATTAGTGAGTTCGGGCGCTCAACATAGCTCAGTCTTTTGCCCGTAGATGTTCTGTGCAGTTTCATCCCAAAAGATATTTTTGCCGCAGATTCCCCATTCAATGTCGAATACATTAGCTACGATTTCCCCAACCAGAGTATCTCCCACAGCGCAGCATCGCCACCAAACAAGCTCTAGCACACCACGTATTCCACAAATGTTTCTGAGGTACATGGCAAGTGTAGTAAGTGGGAGGTTAGAAGAAGAGGACACCGAAGCGGAAGGAAAGAATCGGGCGTCGATCGGTGCCGTTTTTAGGGTACTGCTCGGCAATTCGCCTAGTGTTGATTCGGAGAAAACCACGGAAAATACCTCTTAGAGGCAGTCGTCCAGACAGCGAGCCTACTGTTAGCTATGTTGAAGTCTTGCCACCAACAGAACAATCCAAGGGACTTCCGCGTCAGATGCCTCTGCAGTCACGTCAACTGATACTGTAACGTATTAGCCAGCCGTGCTCGCTGGCATCATACCTTTGGGGACGTCCTGGCAGAGGATCACCTTGCCACAAGGAAGAAGGTTTTTCAGTTAAAGGAAAGAACGCGGTAAACGGGAGACAAGGCTTTGGGAGTTTCTCGGCCTTCCAGTAGAAGCTCTTTCACTTTTCATATGAACAACGAGGGGGTGGCGTACTGTAGAGTCACTGGGTCCTCGCCTATAATAACAGAGTGGTACCAGCACCAGTGGTGTGTTTCTCGGAGACAGCGTGGAGAACCTCGTGCGTGTGCACAAAACTGGCGCACGAGGTGCATATGCACGCGCAGGCCTCGCGGAGCTGGACACTAGTTGACGAAGCTGCGGAACTTATGTCCTTTGGGTGACTGCGGTCACGGGGGAGCGATGCTAGTGTGCGGCTCCAGAGTGAAGGATGGTTGAGTGCCACGATTCACCGCCGATTCTCATCGATAAGCTCGCTCCTCATCGCAGCAAACCAGCCTTGTGCGCCAGAAAGGCTGTGTCCCACGTGACATCCGGTCACGAACTAGGCTTGTGCGCCGCTTCAAAAGTAGGAGTGGCGAATGCAACACACAAACCATCTCATCGGTTTTGGATCGCTCCATCAGGGAAGTAGGTCTATAGAGCTAGGTGTAAGTTAAATAAGTTAAGTGTATATATTTGTTTTGTTTTCTTTGCTTAAATAAAATGTCTATTGTTACTAACGAAAGCTCTGTGTCTTGGTCGCTGTGAGTATCCTAGTCACAATACCTGAGCACTTTAGGTCAG